CCCCATCACGCCCCCCCCCGTTCTGCAATCCCCAGCACCTCCTCAAAAAGAGGATTTACCTTTGGGTTATTTTGATTTTTTTTCAAGCCAACATACTCTTGCAGAAGATGACAGTGACAGAGTTAATTATACAATCGTATCTCATTTTGACATTTTGGAATGAGAATACAAGTAGAACGTTGTTCCAAGAAAAATGTTTTTCAGAGCCACATTTTAACTAGAAGTGACTGACAGGTTGGGACTTGAAAAAGATAAAAATGATTCCGGGAAAAAATAATTTCGAGAAACGTTATAATGAGATATGACTGAAGCCCTTTTAACTTGTGCTAGAATCACAAGAAATATTCTTTTTTATATAGTGCTCCTCGCCATAGTAAGAAAATTTGAGCTACATTTTGCGATGAAGAGCCACTAAATTACGGCTCATTCATAAAAACTCCCTACCTATTCAGAGAAATTAAGGGCAAAAATGCTATTTTAAAATGAGCCAGAAATAGATGTTCCAAGACGCTAAATGTGGTCCATTTGGATCGCAGCTATGGTTCCGCTCGATTGTGTTGTTTATCATGAGATTTTTTTGACACGTGAATTGAAAAAAAAAAAAAAAAATGTGAATTTCTCTTGCGTAAGGAATCCACCTCTCCTTACACCATCCTGTTTCAATTACAGATACACATATTAAAAATGATAACATTCGTAATATCGAGAAACAGAGATATAAAAAAATAAAAGTAACGCTTTCGATGATTACGTAAGTTTACCTGTAAACCCCAATTAGGACCCGCGGTGTTCCGTACAATCCATGCCTCTGAAATCAAAAGTCAAATGAGAAACAGCTCACGAGATCACTGTATAAAAGCTATTCAAAGATTGGGGTGATCCTAACAAAAGTACTCAAAGTAAGGTTCCAGACAATGGGTTGCGTTTAAGACAACACGGATGAAATAATATCAAATATTAGAAAAAAATAAATGAGATTCAAACAAGAGTTGAGTTTTTACGTCCAAAAAAATATTAACCTTTTGAAAGAAATGATGTGACCAATGTCGTCATTCAACGCGATAAAAAATGCCATGGTTCATACGATTATTTTTACTATTTTTATCAGTCTTGTCCTTCAAACAACTGGTGCAAAAAAGACAAATCAGTACATCACCGATGAATCATCTTAAAGAGGAAGACACATTTGTGAATATATCACCATGGTAGGGATTACACAAAAAACTACAAAGAGAGTATGTCTTCATTTATCTATTTATAAAAAAGGGAAAAAGAAAACCATCTTTTTCAAAGGCGGATCCAGCAATTTGGCAACACTGGATTTACTCCATTTAAACTATGGAAAATAATCGATTCTTGGCGGAGCGTTTGGCCCCTCTAAGAATCGATATATTTCCATTGCTATAAATGGAGAGAAGGCAATGTTGCCAATTTTCCTGATCCGCCAATGATCTTTTTAAGTAAATCTATGGACAAATCTAACTTGTTCATCGTAAAGTCGCTCATTAATTCAATAAATTTAAGGCAAATTATCAAAATTAGTCACACCTCACTCCAAAAACGATTGAAAAAATTAAACGGATCATTTTTCGATAGAGAGTTACCACTCTCAGCTCATTTACAAACGACGTATATGCCAGTAGTTTCCTTATGCAGGTAAGTGCTTTTACAGGTGGCGAAAGATAAAGTTCTTTATTGGAAATTATTGTGGTCCAAAAATCCTTTCCGGTGTTCATCTGATATATCGACGGTGAAACTACCAAACCACGTATCTCGTTTGCGGTGTTTAAAAATCTACGCTCGCATTTTATTTTTTTAAAGTCGACCAAATCAATATCATTCTTTGAAATTTTCACAGAATTTTCTCCGCACAAAGAGGAAAAATCACAGAAATTTTCAAGACTAGACGTGAAGTAGTTTTTCATTTAAAAAATAAAGTATGACAGGAAGTCTGCGACGTCGCAAACCGAGAAACGTGGTTCGGTAGTTTCACCGTCGATATATCCTTCATCTAAAAGAAGGACGTTTTTACCAAAAAGAGTTCTTTCTTCCTCCTTTAAAATCTGATATCTCAAACTTTCTAGATTGTAAAATTGACTCATTCAAGCAGAATGAAGGTTTCAAACGATAGGGGGAAAAGTAAAATGTAAGTAGTGCACACCGTACCTTCGTAATGGCCAACAATAGTTGCAGCGTGATTGATGACATTCGCATCATTAGAGCAATTATCCGAGTTGTAAATGCCTGATACGTAATGCTGCACAAAAAATATATATTTATTTTTAAAACTAAAAGTTGAGGAGTGTGTATCGTAGCGGAAATACCGAGATAACGCGCCTTGGAAATTCGATTAATGACATCATCCACCGCGATGGTGACACCCTTGGTTTCTTCCACCTTGCTTTCATCCGAGTTTAACCACCTCGCTTTCATCCGAGTTTAACGTTGAGAAACCAGTAAAAATGTGTGCCTCCCTGACATATGAAAGCAAAGTGGAAGAAACCAAGGGTGTCACTATGCCGCGGTAGATGACGTCATTAAACGACTTTTGCAAAGCGCGATATCTCTGTTAATATTGAACGTAAAGAGTCGCTAAGTGGGCAGATCTGATTATTTGGACGTATTTCTTCCAAACGGAACTAAGCGCCAATTTGAGTTCCTTTTTGAGGAATTTAGAATCCCGGATAGCGCGTTCTGTCAAACGGAACTAAGCGCCATGGAAAAGCATTGCGAGTATAGCAACGAATGAACTTGACGCCCAGCTCCGCCGCCAATCCAAGCCCCCCTCTACCTTCCCACCCCGATGGCGCTTAGTTCCGTTTGACAGAAATACGTCCATTTTTAGCTAAGCTACATGAATCAAACAGAATATCACGGCTGCATGACTGGCGCAACTTATTCTCCTCCCTCTTATCAAGTACATGTCCGGCACTGAGGAAAAAGTTACGGGATATGTAGATAAAACCGTCCGCTCCGGGCTCAGAGGCCGAAAGTTCCGGGTGCTGAAGCCGTAGCTTTGACTGCTCCGGGTGGTACGCCTGAAACTTTCGGCATTTGAGCCCGGATCGCGGACAATATGTCTACATAGTTCGTACACGGAGAAAAAAACTTCGGGCGTGGTACCCGAAGTTTAGGTCATATGGATCTCTGAAGTTTTCGGATTGAGCATCTGAACACTTTAGATCTAGCTGTCGAGGTTCGGATCACATATCTGAAACTTCAGTTCTTACATCTGAAGTACTTCGATTTTCACATCCGGAAAACTTCGGTTCTCACATCTGAAGTACTTCAGATGTAAGAACTGAAGTTTCAGATGTGTGATCCGAACCTCGACAGCTAGATCCAAAGTGTTCAGATGCTCAATCCGAAAACTTCAGAGATCCATATGACCTAAACTTCGGGTCCCAAGCACGAGGTTTTTTTCTCCGTGTAAGTGCGGCTTCCACGGCCGGAGTTTAATTTTCAGTGGGTACTTCTTTATACCTTCCCTTCCACTCAAGACTTAGAGGTCATGAATAGACGACCTCACGGAAGAAAATAATATCCCTTACTTGGAGTTCTTTTGGTGAATGTAGGGATGTTGGAAGGGGGCTGTAGACCACTGTATCTTCAATTTGTTTCAGAGTTTTTACCCTCTCGAAATCTTCGATCTTCAAATACCGTTTGATTCGTTTGTTACATTCACCCGTTACGGCCTTGTAAGGGTAATCCTCTTCTTTTGACACTCCGTGGAAAAACATGTGTTTCAGTGCGACGTCTATATTACCACCCGCGCAGCCAGAGTTTTTCTCCACGCAATCGACCAGATCTACAGAGACAGCGAAATAAACAAGCTTTCAGTAGACGCTTTTGTAAACACATTCATTTTTCATGTCCAGTTTTCATGGATAAAATCGGTGCAAGCGAATTTCTAAAGAATGAAAATGTATTTGCTTTTAATGAGGTGGTTGTTGGTCCGTTTTATCTTATTATGAATCAGAACCAATCTATTTTAATATGGGTCAATTGAACCAACTTAACAGCAGGTGATAGGTCAAAATGTCCAAAAATAAGTGTCCGGTGTACAAAAATGTCCAAAGTGAAAAAAAGCCGATGCGTAAATTTTTTTATTATTATTTTTCATTTAAAAAAAGTCTTGGGCATCGAAGGGTCGAAAAAATGTCTTTTGTTCCTATACTTACTCTCATCTTCCTTGAAATTTTGCAAGAATTAAAATGTATTTTGCCTACTTTTTATGCATTTATTTCTCTCTGCAGTATTTTTTCTATTCACTTTACATTGATTATCATGGTACTTGTCATAATGTTAACATGGAATCTACTCCTGTAGATTCATTCATGAGTTCTGTGAAAATTTGTGCCACCCCACCACTACCGGGATAAGAACACAGACCTCTTTGACCTGGAATCACGAACGCTGACTGCAGTGGCGAGACGTGAACGATCTATCGATGTGTCCTCATTTGAAGCTATGGCGAAGAATCGATTGTGAAGGTGTTCGTTGCGAACACTGTGTATCGATCCTTTTCCATAGGTTTAAAGGGTAGATCAATCGATAAATCGCAAAGCACGCCACGCCACTGGCTGATTGCTACACTGAAAAAAATTCTCGGCGTTTTTATCAAGGTCCGTTGGTACCTTTACCATTTCACTTTTTTACCAATTATTGGTAATTTTTCCAAGACAGATCGGTAAGCTTACCTAAAAACCGGTATTTTTACTGTTTTTTTCAGGTAAGAATAGCACTTTTATTGGTAATCAATTCCCGGTAACTTTGCCATTTCATCTCGGTAATCCTACCATAGTCGATAAAAAATATTGGCGTTTTTATCAAGGTCCAGTAAAATTACCGAGAAAGTTCAATACCGAGTAGTTTACCGAGATTCCACGGTAAAATTACCAATTCCATAAATGGTAATTTTTGGAAAATTGTACCAAGAAAAAACTGGGATCAAATAGAACCCTGAATTTTTGGTAATTTTACCCTTTTCTTAGTAAATACACAACATTTTTTTTTTCGTAATAGCTCATTCTTGTCGGCAATCGATCAACATTTACAGTTTAAAATTGAGAACTAAAAAGTGTTACAAACCTCACAATATACCACCGTATGCGCATGATTCATACCTTGTGCGGAGAGTTGAGTGACCTTGTTTTCATCCAATGCCCAATGGATCTCGACAGCTCCAAGCACAGCAAAAGCCCAACAACTTCGACATCTGTGTTCCCCCACAACCTTTTCTCACGTCCAAAAAAGAGAAGATTACTATCGTATACACCGAAAAAATGTAACTGTCTTAGTCCAAAAAAAAAAAAAAAAATTATTTAGGTTTCTATCAATTAAAATTAATTGATTAAAGAGTTTTATGAACTAAAAGTGAAGCTAGGACAACATTTTTCAAGAGAATTCAATTTCGATTAAGAATTTCGAAAAAAAGGAATTGAATATCAATAAAGAAGCTGATTCAACTCATACTTAAAAAAAATAATCCTTTCGCCAATAGGAGAAATCGGACACAATGTGGAGACTTTCAGAACTTCTAACTCTGTTTATAAAAAACTTTGAGGTTATCTAAGTGGCTCTATTGGTTTTCTCGTGAAATTTTCTTCGATTAGCACCAAAGACATAAAGACGGAGTGCTCGTATCTAAAAGCACGGGGAAAAAGTGAAGCCTGGTTTGGCGCTGGGTGCTTGTGTGAGTGTAAATGAGCGCGGGAATCCATGGCGGCAAACGGAAATTTGATTTGAACTTGTCCTCTTGATTTTTCCTTATTTCTTCTTCTAAACGTGTTTTAAATGCCTAAAACGTATATTAAGAAAGTTCGGTCTGCGTCCTAATATAATACACCTACTTTTGCTCAGTAACAGGCAGTAATTTCAGATAAAGTTAGTTTTTCTTCTGCTCATGGTGGTTCTGCAGGTTCAAACAGGTCGTTACAGTTCTAGATGACCGTCACTCCCAAATGAAATTAATCGGTCGACGACGGACCAAAGCTAACCTAAAGTTAAAGAAATATGAGTGGGTAAGTGAATTTGGGCAAAAATCAACCTAGAATACTTTGTTTCCGCAATTATTTTATTCAGTTCCCGCCCTATATTTGAATTCAAACTTGTCCCGATTTCGCTGCCAATCCTCTAGCCAATAGTAGAGGTGAATGAAAAGAAGCTTCATTTTTTGCTTTTAGCCCTCCGTCTTTATGTCTTTGATTAGCACCCTTGAAAATTGAAATGTGACGAAATAAACATCAAGCATTTCAGTTTTAGTCAAAATTTCATGTCCAATCACTCTGATTGAATCGATCCACTGTTTGCCGTTTTGCTTTATGACGCTCGAATTTCATGCGGAAAGAGCAAACACGAGGTTAACGCTGCCGAGCCAAGGAAAAACGGTGTATGCACCTGCAGGCGTTGCCAAATTTCCTTTGATAAAACGCGAATTTCCTGTTAACTTATGAATATTTTTGTCCCAATTTTTCAACTTATTTTGTTTGCAAATTAACCTACAGATTCTGTCGATATTTTTAAGAGTCTAGACTCTAGATCCAAGCGGTTTTTTTTCCAGTGCAGGATGAAATGTTTTGCACACGACACTAGCCTAAATTTTTCCCCCTCACAATTGGACGTATTTCTGTCAAACGGAACTACATGCATTATGACGTGAGCCCTGTTATGCGTATATTCTTATTGGTCTCAGGGCTCATGTCTTAGAGCACATAGTTTCGTTTGATAGAAATACATCCAATTTACAAATTAGATACATATACATTAGTATTCTCTCAGAAGGTACGATGGATTTTTAAAAAATAATGAAATGAGTCTGTTGAAAATCATAAGTACAAGCCCCCAAAGAGCCCCCAAAGAATCCTCTTTACAGTTCAAATTCCACGAAACTCACAACAAGCGCACAGTACCAGACAAAGAGACAGCATAAGTCCGCAACCACGTTTCTCGTTTGCGGTGTGTGAAAATCTCAGCTCCTTTTTTATTTTTTTAAAGGAGAACAAATTGACATCATTCCTTGAAGTTTTCGCAGAATTTTCTTGGCACCGAGAAGAAAAATCAGGACAGTTCTTTAGAATGGAGATGTTGCACGTGTGAGGAACTTGGGATTTGACTGCTGATTCTTTTGTAAATGTTCGCGAGAAACACGATGGTGCCACTGGTTTTCTCTGAAATCAACTCCCAAGCTAAAAAAAAAGCTCTCAAGTTGAGGCCAAAATGGAGGGGATATCCCACCCTACCCTGAGAGTCCACCTCTACATCAAGACCAACTCGCCATGCAAAGATAAGGAGCAAATACATTGACAGGGCTGCTACTTTATTTGGGGGCTCCAAAACTGAAAACACGGCAACCCCGCTAATGTATTTGCTCCCTATCTTTGCATGAGAGTTTGTCTTCATGAAGACGTGGACTCTCAGGATAGCGTGCGATAACCCCACCATTTTGACCTCAACTCGAGAGCCTTTTTTTGAGCTTGGGAGTTGATTTCAGAGAAAATCAGAGGCACCATCGTGTTTCTCGCGAACTTTTACATAAGAATCAACAGTCAAATCGCAAATTTCTCACACATGCAACATCTCTTTTTGCCGTTGAGCGGTTTTTCATTTATTAAATGAAGTATGACAGGAAGTTTGCGACGTCGCAAACTGAGATACGTGGTTTTGGACTTACACCGTCTAGACACGAGATGGCTGGAAGCGCTATTTTTTTCAATTTAAAAGAAAAGTCTTAAAAACACGCACGTGGGCATTCAAAATGTCAGGGGAAGCGGTTTGTACACCTGAGATTGACAGCGATACGGATCTAGGCATTGCAAAACGCGTCAGTTCAATAGTCTTTAATGTGCAAGTGCGAGCGTTTCTAAGAAATTCAATTTTTGAACAATTTTTTATTCAATTTTTTTTTGAACATCAGAAATGTCTAATATCCACTCCGATGTAAAGAGATACGCGGCGATACCGTATTCGATGGAACGAGCAATTCAGAGAAATCCGACATGAAATTCGTTGGTAAAAACTGCAAATATCGAGGTTTTTTCGTCACGGTTTACATTCTGCCGTGCTAAGGAAGAACGCCGTATGAACATTCGAGAGTTGCCAAAGTTCCTGCAATTAAGTGTTCTTTTTTAGGAAAGTTATGAATATTTGTTCTTGAAATTTGCAGGGACTTTGGGTGAAATCGCGAGGAAAAAAGTCTGACAAATTGGAAAGAAAATATACATAAGTTTACCAGGAAATTCGTGTTTCATTGAAGGAAATTTGGCAATGCCTGAAGGTTTATGCGGCATTTTTCCTTAGCACGGCAGTATTGCAAACATTATATGTAGGACGGTGGACGCACGGGTCGTAAGACAGAATGTTGGAATTTTTAAGCCGACGTGCGCGTTAAAAATTCAGCATAAAGCTAAAAATCTCAATACAGAGGGGAAAAGCTCATACACAAGCACAATTTCCCCCCAAAGAGATACGCTGTTTGGTGCAATACCTAATATACCTGCAATGCCTGCTACCTGAATGGTCGTTACTAGTGTTGCACCAAACAGCGTATATCTTTGAAGAAAAATTGTGCTTGTGTGTCAGCTTTTTCCCTGTGTATTGAGATTTTTAGCTTGATGCTGAATTTTTTACGCACGTTAGCTAAACAATTCCAAAATACTAACAAATACGTGAAAATTAATGAATCCTCTTTTAAACCTCTACATTTTGTATTCATGAAGTTTTATCTTCATGTTATGTGCGCGAGGCATCCTGGATACGATTAATTTAATCAAAATTGCAATCTTCAATTGGATTATTTTGATGTATTCAACATTTCAGTCAGTACACCTAAGCTGATTCGATAGACACTATATTTTGTGCCAGAACAGCACGTGGTACACAGCATCGACTAGTTACATTTATTAGGCCACTCGTCATTTTCATCGAATTTCGAGATCGCATATCTGTTGTCACAGACTAAGGCATAACCCGGAATGCATTGAAAGAAAGATAGAAGATTCTCTTGCGTTTACAGCTATGCTGAATCCTCCTATTGGCTCGCTCTACCGCGCGTCGCACAGTGGATCGAGTCAATCAGAGAGGTTGGACTGGAAATGTTTAACTAAAACTGCACATTTTGGTGTCTAATTCGTCACATCTTAAATTTTAAGGGGTACCTCCAAAAGACACTTTCACGAAAACACCAGTGGAGCCACTTTTATAACCTCAACGTTTTGCATGAACGGAGTTATAAGCTTTTATGTGTATGTATGAGGCGCTTTTACGGCGCGCTAGGGCGCTCTGAGACGCCTACCCGTCACAGGAATCTGTCGTGGTAGAGATTGAGTACCTTTATAGGTAGACAGAGTATGGCCATTTGTCTCTTTTTACTACGGGAAAACTGTGCCGCCATTTGATTGGTCAACGAGTTTGTAGGCTTTATGATGCTCTTACGGCCGTAAATAAACAGACAAGATGGTGGCTCACCGTAACATTGCAAAGTTGCTAAAATTTGCCAAAACTTTCAATTATACAACAGTAACAATTTAAACTAGAATATCTACGAATATAACAGATGGAAAACACATGAAACCTCGCCTTTCGCCTTTATCTCAGGAGGATGTAAGATGTGCATAACCTCAAACTTGCTTGCTGATAACAGCCATCTTGTTTGTTTATTTACGGTCGTAAGAACATCGTGTCAGCCTATTTTCACGCGACCAATGAAAAACCGGCACAGAAATGGCCATACTCTGTCTATAAAGGCTCTCTAGGTATAGAGTCCCTTTATACCTAGAGTTACGACAACTCACTTTTGGTTGGGCTGATAGTGGCCTAAAAAAAATCCAATTCTGATTGGTTCTCGCTCATGGAGTCACAAACGAGTGCACCAAGATGGTGGTGACTCGAATGTGAACAAAAATAATGAGAATATTACCTAATTGTGGTTTATCAAGAGTAAATTGTTATTTCCATCGGTCCAAAATGAAAATAGATTATTATTCACAAACCAATCTCATTTTCTTTTTACTTGATCAATTTGTAGATGTTGTTGTTTTCGTGTGACAGACATCGCAGGATTCCTGATCCTTATCCCTCAATATCGTTCGTTTGGGGGCACTCGTTTGTGCCTCCATGGCCAGCCAAGGCCGGCTGCCGGTCAGCTGATAATCGACTTGTCTTAACTCTGGGTATAAAGCATAGAGTACATAGAGTCGTAATGTAAGTGGGAGAGCTGGCGCCACTTTTAAGCATTTTCCATGTCCCGAATTCCGAGACTCCTGTGTGACGCCGGGTCACTTTTTCGATACATAATCGATTGTTTGCGATTCACGGGTACTCGGCCATCCGATGACAACAACAACAACAACAGAGGAGATAGGAATTACCACGTATTCCACACCGCCATTTTGGATCGAAAATGTATCGAAAAAGCGACCCGAGCTCGGCGCACACCGGGCTCGGAATTCGTCGAGCAGAACATGGCGTCAGCTCTCCCATTTACATTACGACTCTATGTACTCTATGGTATAAAGGGACTCTATCTAGGTAGAGAGAATATAAGCTTTTAAAGTTTCCAAATTTTGTCCGACCGCTCCCATTCACTCGCTCCACCGAGCGCCGTTGGCATACCTGATTTCGTGGCTCCGGGTAGATATCCGCGGGATCACGCCAGTCCATCTCGGGGTCTCCCTCGGGATCCTTGCCAATCCAGGGAGTCACCCGCGCTCTAGACGTGCTGGCAGCTGTGGAGCTGGAACTTTCGGGCTCAGGCCCATCGAGATGGGTTGGATTGGTGAAAGTAGGGTTATTGACCGGTTCCGGTGGAAATTCCGGAGGCGGATCAGAAGAAGGGTCGGGAGCAGGTAGGTCCATGCCGACCCAAAGGCGATCTCTCTTCCTCCGCCTCAGCGGAGGTGCTGACTTTGACCTCGACGGATTCTCTCGTGACAGCGAAGGAGGAGCGTTTTTGACCGGAACGGAGGACGAGCGACCCCTCGGATTGGAGGCATCCTGTAAGCGAGAAGGTACATAGTATTCGGATATAAGTATTGGACATAGGTCGGACATAGTATTGGATAATAATCCATGAGAATGAGCCGTAGTAACAATCCGTTAAAATTTTCTACTGAAAAAAAAAACTCCCACCGTGGAAGACGTACTTCCTAAGTAGCATTTTTCTATGTAAAAGTTGCAAAATGTTGAAACAATGTTGGTATTGGTTGCAACAAAGTTGCAACTTTCGGTCAACTTTTGGTCGACACTGAAAAAAAATTCTCGGCGTTTTTAGCACGGTCCGTTGGTACCTTTACCATCTCACTTTTTTAAATGTGTTAAATGTTTAAATGAAGCCGTACTTCCTATGTAGCATTTTTCAATGTAAAAGTTACAAAATGTTGGAACAATGTTGGTATTGGTTGCAACAAAGCTGCAACTTTCGGTCAACTTTTGGTCGACACTGAAGAAAAATTCTCGGCGTTTTTACCACGGTCCGTTGGTACCTTTACCATCTCACTTTTTTTTACCAATTATTGGTAATTTTACCAAGACAGACTGGTAAGCTTACCTGAAAACCGGTATTTTTACTTTTTTTTCAGGTAAGAATACCACTTTTATTGGTAATCAATTCCCGGTAACTTTGCCATTTTATCTCGGTAATTCTACCACAGTCGATAAAAAAATATGGGCGTTTCTACCAAGGTCCAGTAAAATTACCGAGAAAGTTCAATAATTTTACCGAGATTTCTCGGTAAAATTACCAATTCCATAAATGGTAACTTTACCGAGAAAAAACTGGGATCAAATAGAATCCTGAATTCTTGGTAATTTTATCCTTTCCCTAGTAAAAACACCGAGATTTTTTTTCCAGTGGATGAGTGCTGATTTTCGGCGATCTGATCGGAAGACAAAGTTGCAACCTGCTGAGATTGCAAAACTGCTTCACCAAAGTTGTTTAAAATCCATTGATAGGCAACCAGCAATACTTTCAAGTTGAAACATGTTTCAACGTAATCGCAACTAGTTCCGACAGTGATAGCTCCTTCGGGGGAAAGAGTAGGCAATCTGCACATCAATCTATTAGTTGCAAGAATCAAACGATTTTGTTGGAAGTGCTACTTGGGTTACTGGCTATATGGATATACTGTCCCCATTCCGGGCTCAGAGCGGTGGCGTGGCGTGCTTTGCAAGATATCGATTGATCTGTCATTTAAACCTATGGTAAAGGATCGATAGACAGGGTGTTCGCAGCGAACACCTTAATAATCGATTCTTTACCACAGGTTTAAATGGCATAACAATCGATATATTGCAATTCACGCCACGCCGCGCCACTGGCTCAGAGGCCAAAAGTTCCGCGTGTAACAGCCGGAGCAATCGCAGCTACGGCTCCAGCACCCGGAACTTTCGGCCTCTGAGCCCGGAACGGACGGTATGTCTACATAGCACCTACCTTTTTTTAGAAAACCTATAAGAAAAGTCAATGTGCAAGTGAGTATGCGGACATTTTTTAAACATTTTTAATTCATTTTATTAACTTGCCTTGTATAGACCGTCCACAGACCGGGTGGAGGTTTTGTCCTAAAAATTACCTTTTGGACGGCAGTGGGCCAGTTGCGCTGGCATCGAAATCGTGTTTTGATGCTTGATTCTTGTGGATAAGCTAAAAATAAGAACATTTGTCCAAGCAGCAACTTTCTAAGTTCAATATTAATCGAGATATCGTCCTTTGAAAAGTTGAGTTTTTGACGTCATCCGCCGCGGTAGTGCATAACATGGTAATTTACTTACTACCGCGGTGGATGTCGTCATAAATCGAGGTTTTCAAGGCGCGATTTCTCGGTTAATATTCAACGAGGAGAGTTGCTGTTCGGACAGATCTTATTGTTTTTAGTTGATCTGCAAGGAAAAAACATCAAAAAACGATTCTGTGACCAGCGCAACTGACCCAGATTGTGACCCCATTCTAAAGGTTATTGCTACTAGGGATAAGAATTATTTAAGCTAAGGTGCGCTTAGAACAGTGTTCGAAACCCACCTTAGAATTTTAGGAGCCATGTGGCCCATCAAGCTCAATTTTTAGGGGCCATTGAAGATTTTTTAGGCTCCAAATTGACTCTTTGCCTTTATATCACGGCGCATTTTGTGAAAAGTCAGACGCAAGATGTTTAAGTTACACAGAACTAGTAGCTGTAACTTGTAACTTTCGAAAAACCACAAAACAGAAAAATCAGAATTTTTTTTTTTTTTTTTTTTTTTTTTTTTTTTGGGAGGGGGGCACTTTTTAGGAGCCACGTTGGTGCAGAGCCATCATTTTTTAGGGGCCACGTTGCACACTGGATCGAATCAGTAGGAGAGGTCGGAAAAATTTTGGAAACTTTAAACGCTAGTAACTCCGGTTATACAAAAACTTGAGGTTTTAAAAGTGGTTTCGTTGGTTTTTTCGTAAAATTTTCGTCGAGAAGCACCCCTTGAAGTTTGAAATGTGACGAAAAAAACATCAACATTTGCAGTTTTTGTCAAAAATTTCATGTCCGACCTGCCCCACTGACTCGCTCCACTGTGCGTTGGCGCAGAACCTACATTTTTTAGGCGCCATGACCGATTTCTTAGGCGCATTTGGCGCGTTTGCGCCTGTGAGTTTCCAACACTGGCTTAGAATCATAGAGTACATAGAGTTGTAATGTAAGTGGGAGAGCTGGCGCCACTTTTAAGCATTTTCCAGGTCCCAAATTCCGAGACTCCTGTGTGACGCCGGGTCACTTTTTCGATACATAATCGATTGTTTGCGATACACGGGTACCCGGCCATCCGATGACAACAACAACAACAACAACAACAACAAAGGAGATAGGAATTACCACGTATTCCACACCGCCATTTTGGATCGGAAATGTATCGAAAAAGCGACCCGAACTCGGCGCACACCGGGCTCGGAATTCGTCGAGCAGAACATGGCGCCAGCTCTATCACTTACATTACGACTCTATGTACTCTATGGATTTCTTAGGCGCATTTGGCGCGTTGGCGCCTGTGAGTTTCCAACACTGGCTTAGAATCCACGAAATCTCACTCACATTTTTCTCCGAGCGTCCTCTGGACTTGGAGCCATCATTGGAGCGGAACCAGGACGTGGATTCATCTTTGGAGCGACTCCTGGACTTGGGGTCATCTTTGGAGCGACCCCACCAACCCCTGGACTTATTGTCATCTCCGGGTTGATCCCCGCTTTTCCTGTCCCGGGATTTACTTCGTTTGGGGGTCGGAGCTGGGGAGTGTGATCGTTCCCTCCTGGGCATAGAACCGGAACCGCGATTTTTGGAACTATCTGACTTCCAAAAGCGATCCAGCATACGAGGCGCGAGGCTTTGTCCGATCGGCTCGACCACGACCCGAGACCTCTCCAGGAATCCCATGTACGACACGTATTCTTCACCTACACGCAGGATTTTCAAAAGGAATACGTCGCTTGGCTATGAGGACGTAACTAAACGTTGAGATGAGCCCGGAAAAGCATTGAGTTGTATGCACGGCAGGGTTCATTGCGGAGTGTAGTTACGCCCTTATGTCAGGAGGGCGCCGAATATAATTATATATCAACGTCATGCGCTATGATTAGTTCGAGTCATTGAATAAGCTAACCTGAATTTGATGTTTTGATAGCTAGGTTTGATCGTGTGAGACTGGCCTGTGTCATACTTTCAAAACTAGCCATCAAAGGTGTTGCAATTGGCTTATTCGATGACTTATTGGACCAATCACAGCACTAGACCTTGACATTTTGATTGAGTATTTTGATAGTGTGACACAGGCAATTAGCTCGTGACACTGGCTTGCTTAATATACAGGGTTATTCAAAAGTCACGCATCACATGGCCATGAGAGGGGTAACCATTTGAAATTTTTGAGTTGCACCCAGCCCCCTCGCCTGAGGAGGTCAAAAACTTGAAAGTACCCAAGCAAGTTTCCCTCTCAATATGAGGGAAAACGTCACAAACCGCAAATTGATATCATTATTAGAACTAAAGTTATGACAAGTGGTGCGTGATTTTTTTATAACCCTGTATATGTAGATCCGAATGAATTCAACTTTTTTCGCATTCAACATTCTTTGATTTTGTGGGAAAACGTAGGGATTTTTGATTCCCTTGGAAAACGCAATAATGGCTGGCCTCAATATAGTAGATTTCCTCCGAAATTCATGTCCTAATGTGGAAACGTTGGAATTGCCTCAAAGTAGAGATTCAAGCATAGCAAATACTATTCAAAACGCTGCGACTTCGTTTTTTTTTTTTTTTTTTTTTTTTTTTTTTCAATTTTAAAATAGCTTTTCCTGGAATACATTTCACGCTTCGAACGGAACAAATTTATTTTAATGACATATCCCGCTAAATCATAGGTATTTCCCAGGAAAGCAGCCTCTCGTCCCATCCATACTCAACCGTTGCCAGATAAGTTGCTTTTTCAGCACTTTTCCCAGTGCTAACCTGTGTAAAATATTCACAATTATCACACAATCTGGCAACCCCTTGAGTGAAACAGAAAAAGGTGGAATCGACGCAAGTGTGGAATCCTTCCACTCTGATAACAATGATGATGATTTTCGTTGTACTTTTTTCGAATAATAACATTTTACTCACTAGTTAGATCGGTGAAAGGGCCAATGCCGAAAAGAAGATTGCCTGGATTGCCTCTTCGCCTGTTCTCAGCATTTAACGTTTTTATCACGTTCAAATTAGCTTTGAAAATCTCGAATCTGTTTTGTTTTTCTTTTGATCGGTACTTTTTTCCGTAGGCCGTGATGTATAAGGCAAATACTTTTTCCACTTTCATTTGAGAAACTTGACTCTAGAAACAGAAGTCAACAAGAATTTCATGAAAATAAATTTTCAAAGTATTTTATCAGAATTGGAAAGTACGATAAGTGAAATTTCAACCTTAATCAACACTAAAAATCCAAAATTGGCTTATCCCTGTCCGAAATACTGACCCCTGAAGTTGAGGGTTGGAGGACAGAGCTACGCTCGATGAAATGTTCTTCTTGGAGTACCTACGTAGAAACCAGGAAAAAGGTGTTTTTCACGATTCTGACGCAGTAGAGGAGGGATTCTAAACTGATATTTTTGTGCAATTGGACGTATTTATGCTGGAAGGAGCTGAAGATGTGTGGGAGTACTCTAGAAAGCTTAAGGTGATTCGATGGACGCCATGTTTTGTGTCAGAACGGCATGCGATATATCGCATCAATTGGTTCCATTTTTTCAGCTACTCGTCATTTTTCTCCAATTTTGAGTTCGCAATTCTGTTGTCAGGAGACTTAAGCACTCACGTACCACTTTTAACAAAGAAATTCAACGTAATAAAGGCGTGGTTTTTTTTAGAGAGAAAACATCGCATTCGATACTGATATCGAAACTGCACTTGAATGCGATATTTTCTCTCTAAAAAAAACACGCCTTTATTACGTTAAATTCCTTTCTTAAAATTGGTACGTGAGTGCTTAAGTCTCCTGACAACAGAATTGCGATCTCAAAATTGGAGAAAAATGACGAGTAGCTGAAATAAAGGAACCAATTGATGCGATGTATCGCATGCCGTTCTGACACAAAATATAGCGTCCATCGAATCACCTTAATAAACAATGTAAAAGTGGGCGTGATTCCGTTTGGCAAAATGGGACAGTGCGATTTGACATGAAACCAAAAGGAACCAAGCGCCAAATAATTAGTCATGAGCCGTGGACTTGTGACAAGAGCGTTGTGGACAGGTCTCATGAGTTGCGCAAAACCCTCGAGCTCGTCGTCGCCGCCACCGAGTGCAGTCGTCACCGCTGACGTCACTGGCGCTTAATAATTCCCATTCATTCCCACGGCCCTCAACTAACGAGCACACTTCTTCTTAACCGCCCGTCTCTGCTTCCTAATAGCGTAAATACGCCCAATCAACTAAATTAAGGGTTAAATTAGGGCTTGTTCAGAACCTTATCAGTAATGCTACTTAGGTTACAAAGCGGTATAATTTTTTTTTTTTTCCATGATGGCAGGCGAGAATTTTGTGCGGAAAGTGTACCAAACCCATCCCTAGCAAAAACTTGGACGTTGGTAGAATAGAGATGTTTCCCAGATTTGCTTGAAATGTACAATTAACGTTATTTTGAAGGCCATTTTTTCATAAAAATCCATTTAATAGCAGAAGGTCGGACTGACATTCATCATGAAGTTGCCATCTAGTGTGGGGTCATACGTACAATTTAGAGCAATTTGAGAGTGAAATCCATGTTGCTTGGCAATGAGAGAGTAATATATTTTTTTTAAAAAGCACTTTACCAAGAGGCTGTGAGCCTGTCTGTCGTTCGACGCAATTAGACCACTAGATAGAATGCGATATTAATGGATGCAGACTTGTTATCGTATAAAAATTGCACGCAAAACATGACGAACATTTTTACAATTTTAAAAGCTGACTCATAAGTTAAGACCCAAAGTTTTCCTCGCTGATCGATTCAAACTTTCCACTCTCCATAAAACCGTAGTATTCCAGACTCAAATGGGGCTTTTGATCGAGTTAAGTGCTCCTGGCAAAAAAACACTTTTCATTGGACGTTAAAATTCCTTGCCAAGTTTACACATGCAAATACTAAACGTTGAAGAAGGACGTTGATTTTTTCAAAATCGAGATGTGCCGATCGTATAAGTTAGTGGTTTTCGAGGTTTCCCGACAATCATCTCAGTAGGAGATTGTAGGTTTTGCACTTTGATGTCCAAAAATTGAATGAGAGACTTGGAGGCCAAGGCGCAAAAGCATAGTTTTTGCTATTTCAAGAAATACGACGTATTTGAAATTTCGAAATTATCTGGATCTTTATGGCGGAAAAATAGTTCCGACTAACTTTTTAATGCTTAAAAATTAGACTGTGGGTGTCTGAAATTACTCTGAAATGTGCGTATGACCCCACACTAGATGGCAACTTCACGATGAATGTCAGTCCGACCTTCTGCTATTAAATGGATTTTTATGAAAAAGTACCAGTCATAATAATGTTAATTGTATATTTCAACCAAATCTGGGAAACATCTCTATTCCACCAACGTCCAAGTTTTTGCTAGGGATTGGTTTGGTACACTTTCCGCACAAAATTCTCGCCTGCCATCATGGAAAAAAAAATTACTGCTTTGCAACCACTCTTATCCATGTAATGTTGAGTTAGAGGTTTAAAATTATTTAGGTAGCACCTCAAAAAGAACAAAATTCGCCAACAAATATTTTCCGAATTTTGTAAATTTTAAGATGGGCCTGCACCCCTTAAATTTTTACAAAATTATGTAATTCTTTCTTTCGTACTCCGTACTTTTTGGTGTGCCAAATCATCGTAATCTTTTGCAGAGATCCGCATTTTCCAAGCAAAACCGCTGAAATTCATCCAAGATCGGCAAAACTTTTACTTCTTATGATGTTGTTTTGAGGGTTTCCTTAATCACGATGTAAACCATATGGAGACCTCAAGCTCTATTTGAAATAATCCAAAATAACTTAAAGACCGTAATATTATAGCTATAACTATTTTAATAACTGCATGTGTTTATTTGTATTCATAGCTTAAACTAGTAAAAGCATTATAGAGAAGTTCTTAGGATAATTTAAACATTTTAAAACAGTCATCAAACTCTTAATTAAAAATTGATTAGTTTAATATAAAACACTATGTTTTTAATATGGTAATAAAATAAAATGTAATAATTGTTAGGTAAAAACTTTATAAGATATAGCTTCTAATTATAAAAAGTAACCCAGTTTACTAAAGGTTTAGACTAAATAAAGTAAATTTTGGTGATTTGCATTAAATAGTCGCACAGTTAAACTCTAGAGTAAAGAGTTAATAAAACAGAAGAACAAACAATTTCAGGATAAATTAAGACAAGTCGTAACAAAATAATATTACTGGAAAGTGATATTAAATAAAAATTTTTAACTTGAGTTAAAGTAGCTTTTTAAGAAACCGCTAAAAATATGACTCTCAATCCTAACAAATCCGTCCTTATTTTAAAGTTGTTGCGTTAGTGTACAGTCATGTAGACCAAACGAAGTAGGTACCCTTACCTGATATTCTTCTTCAGCCAACGCTTTTTTTGTGCTCAATGGTGCATAGGTTCCGGTAGCAATGCATCTTGTAGGAAAAAACGTTTGAAGGTCTTTATCATTGAATCTGCACGTACAATACGTTTGATTTACGTCTTTGTCCTGTTGACACCTTCCGATTGCCCACGGCTTATTTACCAGAGTGGCTTTGCCCCACCGAGAATTGCAGTAAGCATTACAGTTGCTCTCATTTCTCCTGGTTGGGATTTTTTCGGTGCACAGCGAATCAGAGCGAACTAGTCAGCAACAAGAAATGGAAAAATGGGTTAGGCCTTCTGCCGTGCTAAGGAGAAACGCCGTATGAACATTCGAGAGTTGCCAAATTTTCCCGGTTAAAACTTGCATTTCTAAGGAAAGTTTTGCATATTTTTCCTTGAGTTTTTCAGATATATCGAGTCCAGAGAGTGAATTTTAAGTTTTTTTTTCATTACAAATACCGTATCCAATAGGGAAAATTGCAATGCGTCTCACTGAACGTGTAATGGCTCAGATGAACGTGACGCAATGGAGATGTTGCATGTGTGAGGGATTTGCGATTTGATCATTGATTCTTATGTTAAAGTTCGCGAGAAACACGATGGTGCGCTGGTTTTCTCTGAAATCATCGTTCAAGCTCGAAAAAAGCTCTCAAAGTGAGGCCAAAATGGAGGGGATATCCCACCCTACCCTGAGAGTCCACCTCTACATCAAAACAAACTCTCCATGCAAAGATAGGGAACAAATACATTAGCAGGGTTCCCGTGTTTTCAGTTTTGGAGTCCCCAAATAAAGTGGCAACCCTGCCAATGTATTTGCTCCCTATCTTTGCATGGAGAGTTTGTTTTAATGAAGAGGTGGACTTTCAGGATAGCGTGAGATATACCCTCCATTTTGGCCTCGACTTGAGAGCTTTTTTTGAGCTTGGGAGTAGATTTCAGAGAAAACCAGAGGCACCATCGTGTTTCTCGCAAACTTTTACGTGAGAATCAACAGTCAAATGGCAAATTCCTCACACATGCAACATCTTCATTAACGGACCCTCCAGGTGCTTCCACCTTATCCTTCACTCCATCTCACCAGTATATTCCTGTAACCTTGAAATAGTCCTTGGTTCTCAAGATGCCTGCTACAGGTCAAATACCAAACAACAGAAAATACGCGGGCACAGTGTCCCGCAATCCACATGAATGTCATCATTCACTTCCTAGAATCTTCGACGTGATAATCAATCCAATTTTTGGCAGTTTTGGCACTTAAGGAAAATTTGGCAACGTAGGGAAAAGTTACAAAGCACATTATGCGTGTATTTATTTATGTCCTTTCCAAAAATGTACACGGTTTTTAGATTAAATTGAGTTTTACACATGCAAACTTGAAAAAACCCCTAAAAGTTGGTAAAAATTGGCAACAATGTACCGATAGGCTTTTTAAAATTCACAGGAAGCCATTTTTATGGTCAGAAAGGTAAAGCACGCAGAGAAATGCGTATGATACATGCCTATGTCAGCGCATCTGACTCTAGGCCAATAGGTCCCGGGTTCGAATCCCGGTGGTGGCGACAAATTTTCATGGAACTGACGAGTGGATCTGCAGAAACAGATTCCACTCGGCCTTAATCCCTGAAAATTTGAAAGCCTGGAGCATGGATGTGCCTAAATCCCATGATGTCTAAGGACAATAAATACTGTCTATCGATGGCTGTAGGTTCCAACGGATTATAAGCCACTAAACCAGCAAAAAAAAAAAAAAGATACATGCCTATGGAGGGTGACTAAGGTACTTCAGGTGACTTCAAGAAAAAAAGGCCGCTGAACACGACATCCCGGTCAATTTCCACATCGTGGGAATCCAGGTACAACTGTACTGTTCTGATATGTTGTATATAAGGGTAAGAGCTGTTACGTGCGTCAAAATAAAAGTTGGACCCCGCTTTCTTAAATGTTAGGCGTGGCTCTTTATCTAATATTGGCCATTTTTGGCTCTTAGAAATCATTTTTCTCGAAAATTTACCAACGTAGAAAAAAGTTTTACTAAACATTTTTTATTCATGTTTTTGCGTTCTTTTAAAAATCGTACATGGTTCTTAGTTTGAATTGAGTTCTACGTGCGTAAAATTGAAAAAAAACCTAAAAATGGGCCCAAAATGGCAACAATGGACCATAAGATCCCCTTAAATTCATCGTAGGCCTGTTTAAAAGCCAGATATGGGAAGTGCACAAAAAATTACATGGGAATCACTGGCTGAAAGAGGGAAAACAGTCGACGGAAATATTTATTTTTCGATGCCAGGATTTTGGGTTTGAAGTGCTGCTGCTGCAATATTGTACAGGCTCTGCTCGGTAAAATATCCAGGCATAGAGTCTACCTAGGACTAGTACTTTGAAAATATGAAACATTCAGCAAAATCCAAGTGGGCCGTAAGAGGCCCTCAACGATACTCCTCCTTTGGATGTTCATGCGAAGTTTTTTCTTTTTCAAAAGTCGATTTCAAAACATTGAAGAATTCATATTGTGGACTTTTCATTTGTCGTAAAAAACAATACATTTCATGAGCCGAAATTTAACTTCAAAAATCTCTGTGGAGAAATTATGCATCATAATGAAACCCAAATGTAGCATGCTAAATTACGGAAAGTAGTTCAAAAGCTCTGTCTAAGATATTTAAAGGTTCGCCGCCATTATTTCGCTGGAAACTACACCAGCGCAAGCAGCAATAGCCAGAATTTCATTTTTCTGGGAATGACCGACATACTTCTAAATGTCAACTTTATAGTAGAGTTCGATCCATGTGCGCGTGATGATTTGATGAGTTGTTTTCAGAGTCTTAAAAAGTTTGAAGTATTCTTGCCGCTTTATCGCAGGTCAGTTACACATTTAATTTTCACTCCTTTTAATTTGCGAACTTGAACAATTTAAGACAAGTTATCGGGATCTTATTACATCACATTTCACCACTTCAGAAGTTTTAACATACTACCATTAAAAAATATGCGAAATGTCTTCAATACAAAGCGAAACACATAAACGAAAAAAATAACGTCTCTATCTATTAAAAGCAATCCTAAGAATAAAAAACATAGTGCTAGAAATTCTGTGTAAATTTTTAAAAGTTTAGGAGGAAATTCACATATTTGTATAATTTCTGACCCCGATGAAATTACTCGTTAATGGAAAATTATGCAACATAAAAGGCAATTAGGCTAGTTAAAGTGAAGTTAAGCTGGTTTTTGTTAAACATAATATTTTTTGAGATCGAGCAATCGATGTGTCTTGGCCGTCGATAGATAGAAATTGAAATTCGGCCCTAACTAAAAAATATGAGACAATTTTAAATTTAGACACAACTGATTCCGTAGGGGATTATAACATTTGGTAGAGCGTCAGAGAGTGCTGTAAAGCGACATTTATGGGCAAGAAAAAAACATAAATAATGTCGCCCGAGCTGTAAGTAACAAGAGGGTAGGACGGTGCTGGGGGCCTCTATTCTGCGAAGATCAAAGCCAAAAATTTCCAAAAATATTCAGACGATTCAAAAACTTGATCTCAATATATTGACAAAAACTATTCTGGGGACTATACAAGATAAAACGAATAAAATTTTAAAGTTCTCGCACGAATTGACGAACGACTGAAGATGGAGGAAGCAACGGATATGAAACGCGTATCATTACAAAAAAAATTGGTGCAAGAAAGTACGCTCAGAATTTTATAATTTCATTTAAAAATTTGAACTCTAATGAATATTTTTGGAATTTGCTGGCCTCGCTTTCCCTGCAGACAAGTGTGGAGCTAGCTCTCTTTCACCACCCTGCGATCAGTATGTAAAACCACATTTAGCCCACAAAATTTTCGACGAGCGAAATTTTCAGTATCACATTAGAGGTTTCGCAGTGAAAAGTCTCAAACCAAAATGGGCAATGGAGAATTCGCACACAAAAATTGTATTGCCTCGTCTGAGAGTGCCTAATGAGCTGAGTTCGCAGTAGTTTTCAGTATTTTCCTGAAAGCTTATTCCTTCGAAAATATGAAACAAAAAAGTTGAAGAGTGGTTCCATTAGGTTTTTCGTCAATTTTTCTCTCCAAAGCACCCATTGAAATTGAATTTTTGACGAAATTCTATCTTTTCTAATAAAATCGTTTTTAACCCTAGTCTGCCAAACATGGGTCAAATTGACCCGGCAGGCTCTAAAACCATGCATAACTTTCTTAATTTTTGGCCCACGGACCTGTGCTTCAGATATAGGTCCACAAAAACCCTCATTTATGCAAAACTATCATGATTTTGTGAAAAAAAAAATTTTCCGACCCGTGGTGAATTTTTATTCAAGACTACCCCTCAAACGGCAATTGAGGGGTCTATTTGACCCATATGCAATTCTATAGGGAATTTTTGTTTTTCAGTGCATTTGATGTTGGCATCGCTGTGTGTTTTGATTCGCACGTTATAGGTTATGTAACCATCAACAAATTGAGAGTAGACCACCTACCCACCAAGTAGAGAGCTTTCTTAATTGGATTCACCAAATTCTAGGGATAATTCCCCTATAGTTAATTTTGAAGACATGTGTTGGAACTGGAATTCCATTTTTCCTACTTGACTTAGATTTAGTTCTTTATTTTTCTCTTTTTATCTTGTTACCACGTTCCTCTAAGGAAAGTAGTATTCTAAATTTTACCAAATTCAGAGGCAATTTCTAGTTGTATTTGGAGATTTTTGAACTATTGTGACAAAGTTTTTGTACTAATATTAGTAAATTTTTCTATTTTCATGATTATTTGTAGCCTTGAAGCCTTCAAAGTAATATATTATAACTGTTTCTTTCCAAAAATGTGTATGAGTGAGTATTCCAGTCGGTCCTACCCAAAATGCGAAGAAAATCCCCAAAAAACCTAAAAATTATCCTTGATTATCGGGCTGTACAAATAATGCTAGATCAAAAACAGTGCAAATTGCATAACCTGAACAGTGCAGGATGTTTTAGGAAAATAAAAAATTCAAAATGTAGGCCCTAACTATCATTAGAATATATAGTTACCAAAAAAAAATGTAAAAAAAAGAAGTAAAATACAGCAAACACATGTATTTCGAATACGGGTCAAAATGACCCGTAATGGGCCTGTTGCAAACTTTTGCTAGAGCAAAAATAAGAGTTGATTCTTGTAGATAATACCTCAAAAATCACGATGAGCGCATCGGCAAAGTCTGAAATGCACTCATAACTTCACAATCTGCGTAAGAAATTTGCGTTTTTTTAAGCTTCCCGCTTCAAAAACGATACTACGGCATAGGTGAACATTTTGTTAGAGGAGTCGCTCAATCGTCGGCGATATTCATCATGGCCGACGCTTGCACGCAGTTCCGCGCGTAATTCAAGGAGATTAATTCAAGGTCAATCAATTCGGGCGTGGAAAATATGAACGTTAACACACCGATTCTTATCTGGTCTAATCCTGTTCAGGTGTCATCTCGTCCCATCAAACGTGTTTTGGCGGATTGGCGTCGGCTATGATGATTATTGCCGACGATGGAACGACTCCTCTTACAAAATGTTCACCTGTGCCGTAGTATCGTTTTTGAAGCGGGAAGCTCAAAAAACCGCAAATTTCTTACGCAGATTGTGAAGTTATGAGTGCATTTAGACGTATTTCTACCAAACAGACCTATGTGCGGGTGAGAAATATGGGGTGTGCTCGTCGAAGCTGCATAAGAAGCAATGTAAAAGTGGGCGTGGTTCCTTTTGAAGAATTGGAAAAGCGGGATATTACATTCTATCAAACAGACCTATGTGCAACTGAATGCGGAACTCATGAGCCGCCAGCATGGCAAGAGAGCCTTGTGCACAGGGCTCACGAGTTAAAGCGCCCCGACGACGATCTCCCCGTCGTTAGAGTGCGCACTCTCATTGCCGCTGACGTCACTGGCGCACTATTCCCATTCACTCTTACGCAAAGAGAACTAACGAGCACACCCCACATTTCTCACCTCCACATAGGTCTCTTTGGTAGAATTACGTCCATTTCAGAGTTTGCCGATGCGCTCATCGTGATTTTTGAGGCATTATCTATAAGAAACAACTCTTAGTTTTGCTCTAGCAAAAGTTTGCAACAGGCCCATTGGCAGACTTGTAACAAAAATCCGTTTGGCAGACTAGGGTTAAGACGCTCAATGGACGGGGTGAGGAAGGAAAGTGTAAGACGTTCCAAAGATCGAATGGAAAATTTGCATACACATTTTTTATTGCTTCATCTGAAAGTTGTTAAAAAGCTGATTTCACAGTATTTTTTACAATTTTTTTCTGACATGGGAAATTGGAGAAAAATAGATTTTAAAGTGAGCAAATTACGCCTTATGACGTCATCTGACGGCATTTCCCACTTAAACACATGTATATTAGCAGATTAGGTTATTTTGTCATATCGACGGTGAAACTACCAAACCACGTATCTCGTTTGCGGTGTTTAAAAATCTCCGCTCACATTTTATTTTTTTGAAGTAGACCAAATCAATATCATTCCTTGAAATTTTCACAGAATTTTCTCCGCACGAAGAGGAAAAATCACGGAAATTTTCAAGACTGGACGTTAAGTAGCTTTTCATTTAAAAAATAAAGTATGACAGGAAGTCTGCGACGTCGCAAACCGAGATACGTGGTTTGGTAGTTTCACCGTCGATATACTCTGTAATTATTGTTCAATTTAGAAACCAAGGATATCCTCGTGCTCAGATTTCCTAGTATTATCATTTTAAACATGGAATTCACAAAATTTAAAATACCTGCAAATTCTCTATTCTCAACCTAAGTAATTAGGTAAACATAACACCCACTGGCCCAAAATTTTATATTGTTTACCTAATTACTTGTTTTATCTTCGTGTGAAATCGAACAATCCTGCCACGAATTCGATATGACAAGCTTATAAAATTCAACTGAACCCAGATTCTAATATTTGCAGGTATTCTAATGTATTATTATAATTCCTAATTCTCAATTCCTCAAATTCTTCCGCAATTTATTAAATTCTCTATTTGTTAATGTTCTGATACTTACCCTCTACGAGTGATGACAAACACAATATAATGATGCAGATCCCCACAAGGGACCACGTCATCTTAAGCCCCAGGGTCTGTGAATTGGAGAGTTGAGCTTCTAACTTCCAGAGCACGGAGGAATCCCACGATCGACTGATGCAACATCGATCAATTTCAGTTTTCAACACGCAAGTCAACGACCGTTCCGTCGGATCTCGTCGCCCTTATCACGCAAGAGCGTATTTCCATTTGTGCGTGAGCCCCGAAACTCATGAAGTTATACGGACAAAAAGACTCACGTTGAAATCCGGATACGCCCTTATGTCAGAGCAGTGGCGTGGCGTGCTTTGCGATATATCGATTGTTCTGCCATTTAAACCTATGGAAAAGGATCGATAATCAGGGTGTCCGCAGCGAACACCTTAATAATCGATTCTTAACCATAGGTTTAAATAGCAGAACAATCGATTTATCGCAAAACATGTCACGTTTTTTTTCCCGTTTTCACAATTTTTCCCGTTAGGATACCTCATTCCATAGCGATGGTGTAAGTCGGCAATATAATTACTCGGTTTGCGACGTCGCAGACTTCCTGTCATAATTCATTTTTTAAACGGAAAACTACTCATGCCGTGATTTTTCTTCTCCGTACGAAGACAATTCTGCAAAAACTTCAAGGAATAACGTCAATTTGTTCTCCTTTAAAAAATAACATAGAGACGGAGATTTTCAGACACAGCAAACGAGGTATGTGATTGCAGACTTTCGCCGTCGACATATAGAGGTATTCGTTGTTGGTTTGCAGCGTCATCTGATTAAAAAGATTAAATTCACCTTTAAAATCGTATTTTTTAAATGCACGTACCCACCTCATTCTCAGAACTTCCACAGTGTAGTCTGCTTCAATCCTGTGGCGGATCCAGCCAATCGGCAACATTGTCCTTTTTGAGCGTTCACCACGTTAGTGGTGAACGCTCTTTCCGGCCGTTTCGCAGCGGGTATGTTACTAATGGATCCATTGGTAATAGCCCGCACTGCCTTATGGGAATCGGCGCCATTTTTCGTGGCGGGAAGCAATATCTAGTTTCTCAATTTTATTTATGTACCATTTCTACCTTTTTTCTCCTATTTTGTCCACTTTATGTAATGCCTGTAGGCTTGTCCTCGAGAAATTAATATGTTTACGTTTTAAAACTCTGCAACGTACTTTTAATTAATGACTAAGCATCGTTCAAATTTTTTGTCGTCGTAATTCTAGAAAAATGTTTGGGTACAAAGTACCTCCTTATTAATGACCCCTATATTTTACTCTATGATTCTTGTATATATGTATGTTTCCTAGGTTATGCTCGACGTTTAGTTCAACAGCGTCTTGCAGCGCTTTCTTCCGTCCGCGCAAAACCACTTATATACACATTGACGAGGTGCTACGCCTCGGTGAACGCTCTCCAACGTTAAGACGTTGGGACCGTCGTCTTGTTCCATTTAAACCTATGGAAATGTATCGATTATCGAAGGGGCCAGGTGCTCCGACAAGAATCGAGTATTTAGCATAGGTTTAAATGGAGGAATTCCGGTGTTGCCAAATTGCTGGATTCGCCTCTGCTTCAATCCTGTGGCGAGGTGTGAATGGTCTACTATCGATGTGTCCTCATTTGAAGCTATGGCGAAGAATCGATTATGAAGGTGTTCGTTACGAACACCTTCATAATCGATCCTTTTCCATAGATTTATATGGCAGATTAATCGATCTATCGTTAAGCATGTCACGCTACTGCTTCAATGATATTGGATTGCATTTTGCAAAAAAGAACCACTAGCATTGCAATGTTGCTAAGATTGTGCAACTTCTTTTGTCTTGAAGGAAAAACCCGAGTATCCATTGATGGTTTCAATTTTACTCGCTAAAAACTGTGAATTTAGGACAAACATTACCATCTAAATTTCATAGTTTCTCACGATTTCCGCAATTTTATTGCAAAGGATGAAGTTGCACAATCTTAGCATCATTGCAATGCTAGTGGTTTTTTTTTGCAAAATGCAATCCATTTGTCCATATTTGGACGTATTTCTGTCAATCGGAACTATGTGCATTAAGACATGAGCCCTGAGACCCATGAGAATATATGCGTAACAGGGCTCACGTCATAATGCACTAGTTCCGTTTGGCAGAAATACGTCAAATTGATTCGTAGTGTGACTGTAACAATGTGGCATCGTAGAAAGGGGAAAACCTGAGTCACGGTGTCACGAGACTGGAACGAGATCACGCAAGGATCAATAAGTGTTGACATTCAAGTTCGAAATCGACAAAAAATTGTCAGAAATTTGCAAAAAATGTGCCTTTTTTTATTTTGATACAAGATATGTTGGATGCCTTGCAGCCCGTGACAATATATGCATATACACAATTAATAATTATCATTTTATCGAAGAAAATTTGGCAACTCTCGAAAGCTCGTACGGCGTTTCACGGCTGTATATGTTAGTGCTCGAAATCAGATTTCATCAGTATAAATTCATGGATGGATTAATGGATTATTGCCTTTTCCATCTCTGAATGATGGTCTGAAGAGCATTTTTTTACTATTAGATGTAATCCAGTCTGCAACACACGAGGTGGAAAAATTCCACGTTCTATCGAGAGTGGATTTCTGCGAGCTAAAATTATGCACTCTAGACCTTGAGCCGCCAGATGTACATGTGCGTCAAGGCAAAAAGCGCAACGTGCGATTATTTTGCTCGAATTTCTCATTAGTTTTCCAATAGATCGTATTCGATACATCAAACGAGTGAGATTGTATCGATATCGATTGGTTCAAAACATATAAACATAGCCTCAAAAGTAAATTCAGAAATCTGAAAGAACGGGTCTTTTGTAACAGATTTTTTATTCTTCTGAGTACCAAATGCTAATGCAAAGTAAAATTTTCAGGTTTCTCATTTTCAGCTTTTAACCAACTTAACTCCTTACAGTTTGGTTTGAGGTTAAGTTCTATTGTTTTGAACCAAACCATACATCGAACCGTTATCGAATACGGTCTATTATTCTATACAAATTATTTCGCCGGACGTCACACGATGGATCCAGTCTCTAGGAGAGTTCGGACAAAATTTGGAAACTTCAAACGCTTGCAAGTCCGTTCACCCATCCCTTTGAGGTTCTAAAATTGGTTTCATTGAATTTCCTCGTGAAATTATCTTCCAGAGGCACCCCTTACAGTTTAAAATGCGACGAAATAAAAATCAGTTTTAGTCAAAAATTTAATGTCCGACCTCACTAATTGACTCGATCCTCTGTGCGTCAGACTAATAGATGCATTCCTGCTACATCATGAACATGTGTTATTACGAGCGGTGGTTTTTTCCCGGATGGGAAGGGATGGACTAAACTGTTGATTTGCAAAAATGTAAATATTTTTACCTACAACTGAGGGCGCTGCACAAGGATGTTTGGACCTGAGGTTTGTCTAGCACACGCTCTTTTCAGCCGCGATGCCAATTTCATTCCAACAATAAGCCCCTCGAAATGAATAGATTTCAGTACGTCATCCTTTTCTTCTTGCCTCTCGCATACGTCAACTCCAGAAAAATTGGAGGAAATTTCTTAAAACTGGTTGGATTTCAACTTTTAAGCGCTCTGCCAATAGGCAGGCGTTTCTTGTTTCCGTTTTGCCATTAGAGTTCTTCTATAGTAGAGCGCTCATGCGCTCAAGCGATTGAATGGCTCATCAACTTACCAAAACGTAGCCGACGAGATTCTCAGAATTCTCTCTTTACTATCTGATAACACCCCCTTTAACGTTATTAAATATAAATTAGCGGATGAAATAAATATTATTCTCGGCTTTTCCGCTTCTTTTTTTCTGTAGTGTATTTACATTCTGCTGAAAAGGAGGGAATAATTTACTTTGCGATATGTTGAGAAATAACGGAGATGACGTTTTGCAAAAGATGAAAAAAACCAACCTTAGGCAGACGCTGAAGATTTGCAATTGCACGGGATAAACCAATCGTGCATTTTTTAGAAAATAAATTAAAAAATGAATGAACTTCGACTGTTCTAAGATCTCTAGTCTAGATGTAAAAAAACCAAGACATTTTTTACGAATGTCATTGATTAAGTCAAGTTTCTGAGATAAGAAATGAATTGACTTACTTATTGGATGACCCTCCGCCGGAAAAAAAACACATTGGCTCCAAAACATCGGCAAGAAAAAATACTCTTGATTAAATCGGATTTTTGCTTGAACCAAAACGAAATCCGCTTAAATTAAGAGGATGGTTTCTTGGTTTAAGCTAGATTCTGATTTAATGAAGAGTACTTTTTCTTGTCGATGTTTTTAAGAGTCTGGACTCTAGATCCAATGTGTTTTTTTTGCAGTGTCGCATAAAAAAAGATCAACTCAGCAACCAAATCATACGAGTGACAAATGTTTTCCTCTGATTATATGCAAGAGATTATAGAGATAAAGAGATTAAGAGATTAAGAGATTATATGCATGATTATAGGGAGGGGCAATGTCTTGAATTGTGACTCGTTTCAAATTAAGTCCTGCGAGACTGCGAAGTAAGAGGCGCCGGGAATGTTTCAGGGCTGCAACTATTTTAACCGTTGAGATCGATTTCTGCCTACTCATTCGCTTGAAGGCGCTTTGTGATCCGTGCCGCACTAGCGAACACGTTGAGAAACGCAAAGCGTCCCTTTTGGCATAGGAACGGAGTTCCCTGTCTTTACAATCGTTCCGTTGCTATTGCTATGTGATTCCCTATGCCTCTGCGACCTTGAGCGTTTCGCCCAGTCTTCGATTTTTGGTTGATTTTCCGATGTATCAAAAACCGTTGTATTTTTTAGCCAATCATGTCTCTACGTCAAGTTGTGTTGATTTATAAAATTCGCTTTCAGCGAGTTTTTTTCCACCTTGAGATGTCGTGTCTGACTGGTAAATCTACGCAGAACCACGAAGTTCCAATTTTGGGCAAATTCTTTTTTTTGGGAGGTTCCGATTGGTTATTTTTCGCCATCAGTTTTCTGTTCGTTGGTGCAAAAGATCGCCTACCTCGTTGCTCTTGAGAAGCCGCCATTATCCCACCTCAAATTTTATACATATATATAAAGAAATAATAACCATCGTACAAGGTGGAAAATTGCTCTGGAGGACCCGTTACAGATATATGAGCCAAAATCAGAACTCTATTGATGGATTTAATCCATGAATACAGAAATATTGCCTCAGCTTACTGCCGTGATCGCAAATGCATGCTGGGATGAACCTTGTGACACATGAAAGCATAGGTAGGCAAACAATGTCTCACAGAGAAATGCGCTTCATCCGTTGTCTCATATCACCGCACCGCCGAAACCTTAAGGTCTTCTTTTGTGAAGCCCCGCTCAGAGTCCGAGATCACAAATATGTTCTTTTTTCTCCCAGGAACCACATGATCGGAGATAGCTCAGTTGTCAACGACACCTGACTAGCGTTTTGATGACGTCCCTTTTTGTGCGAGCGGGGGTTCGAATCTCGTAGGAGACAGTTAATTTTTACTGGTTGTATTAAATGTTTTAGACCAATCATCAAGCAATAATTAATACTTGGCAACTTAGGAAGCACATAGGTCCCTTATGATGCGTATTCGGGCATATAAGTAGAGTAAAAATATCATACGCAGGGTGTCCCAAAAGTACCGGGACTGGTTCTGTAACTTCAAAAGTAAGATAGATACAGACATGATTTTGGTCTCATTTTAAAGATCAACTTAATACCTATCGATTAAAACCAAGATCAGCTCAATCGAATAAAAATTGACCGAGTTATGACAATTTGAAATTAGTGAGGAAAGTTTACCCCTACGGTTTTTAGGAAGATTTTTTGCTTACCAGGATTCAAAAAGTTAGTATTCGTATCCACTTTCCTCCGTATCTTCCATAACTTCCTTTTGCTTTTCAAAGTACCGTCCATCAAACCGGATGCACTTTTTCATGCGCTCTTGCCACTTATCCAACATTGTTTTCCTGAATTCTTCCTCTGGGATGGAGTTGAAGAAGTTTTGAATTGCATTCTGGATTTCGGTCTTCGATACGAATCTTCGTCCGCGAAGCTCCTTTTTAAGCGTAGGAAGCATCCAAAAATCACATGGAGCCAAGTCAGGGCTATAAGGGGGATGAGGGATTGTTTTAACTCCATTTTTACACGGAAAAAAATTAAATGTTGATTTAGCATTTATACTGTTAAAAAGATGTCCGACAAGTTTCAAATGCTGATTTTACAATACAAAAATGCTAACATAACATTTTAATTTGTACGTTTTGCAGTGGGCGTAGTTACCTTAGCATTTGTCAAAACGTAAAATCAACATTTGTCCAACTTGTCCAACATCTTTCTAACAGTATAAATGCTAAATCAACATTTCATTTCTTTTCGTGTACTCATAAATTCACGTGTTAAGCTCGATGTGTGAGGCCGCGCATTGTCTTGATGGAGTATCCACGAAGCTTTCAAGTCCGACCGTTTCCGGGAAATGTGCATTCTCAACTCCTTTAGTACTTTGCAATAATATGCACCGTCAACTGTTGTGTTTGATGGTACAAAATGTTGATAAATGACACCTCGAAAATAAAAAAACATAAGAAGCATCACTTTATCGGCCGACTTTTCGATTTACGGCGATGAAGAATCTTCCTTAAAAACCGTAGGCGTAAACTTTCCTCGCTGATTTCAAATTGCCATAACTCGGTCAATTTTTATCCGATTGAGCTGATCTAGGTTTTAAGCGATGGGTATTATGTTGATCTTTAAAATGAGATCAAGATCATGTCTGTATCTATCTTACTTTCGAAGTTACAGAACAAGTCCCGGTGCTTTTGGGACACCTTATGCTTTTGTATACTTTACGCCGAAAAAGCGAACCTGAAACTTAAATGCGTTAACTTCCGAGAACCATATATAATCCAACGAAAATAAATAATCGGTACATAACAGCTTTCTTGTATGCAAAAAAAATAATTAAAAATGTTAAAAAAGAGATGTCAACACAAAATTACATAGCCCCTTCAATTCAGAAGATACTACAAACGAACTGTACCTTAATATTTTCATATCTCAGAAGCTAACGTTCCCATGACGAATATTGCTATCGCTAGCGATTGCAAAATCCAACTTGTCTTTTCTTCCGATCACTTTGCAAAATGATATCCTTGCAACCAAATGGTGTTTTCCTTTAAGAATTTGATGTTGTGTTGCACACTCGTGCGGAGGAGTTAAGAGAGAGATAGAGATAGAAGAATATGTCTAATAACCATTTGAGTCCCTTTGTACCCAGAGTTAAGACATCCCGATCATCAGTTGGCCTGGGCTGGCCATGGTGACACAAAAGTGTGCACCCAGACGAACGAAATTGAGAGATAAGGATAAGGAATCCTGCGATGTCTGTCATCCAAAAACAACAACATCAACAAAACTAATCAAAAGCTAACCAAAGAAATTGCAATAAAATAAAATTAGATTGATTTGTGGATAATTTCTTAGTCTATTCTCATTTTGGTGCAATGAAAATAACAATTCACTCTTGATAAATCGCAATTTGGATATATTTTCATTATTTTTGTTCACATTCGAGCCATCGCCTGTGAATCCATGAGCGAGAACCAATCAGAATTGGATTTTTTTAGGCTACTTTTAGCCCAACCAAGCCCGACCAGAATGGAAATGTCGTGACTCTGGGTATAAAGGAACTCTAATATAAGAATTATTAGGTGAGTGATAGAGGTAGAAGAATATATTTAATACTATTTAAGTGCTGTATTAATAAAACAACATTTAAGTATGTATTAAAAAATAATGTATTAATATGTATTAAATATGTTTTCATAAATATAAAGAAGATATATCTTTTGTCCTCGCATTAATTTTAATGCTGTTATAAAATCAAGTAATCTTCATAATGATGATATGACTGATGAGTATCGGGGTAACCATTTCGCTAGAAAGGATTTACGTAAATTCGGCTAAGTTTGCTGAGGGCAGTCCAAGTGATGACTGCTGAATGCAACTTTTACACTATGTATGGAGAGAATAGAAGTGTGATGTCGAAAAAAGATTGTCTCAGTCCAGTGTGCTTTTTTTCTCCTCATGTAAAATATTTTTGATCTCGTGTTATTTTCAGTAAATATAGAGAATGAAACAAAAGCCAACTCAAACCTTGTGTTGACTTTTGTATTATTTGCGTTGAATTTAGTATAGAAAAAATAAATCAACTATAAATTCTCAGATTCAACTGAGGAGCTTAGTTTCTTTAAAATCCAAACTTTGATCTATATAGATAGGGTTTGTTTATGAACATATGATAACAGAAACACACCCTCTCAGCCAAATCTTACAGCTCGCAAAAATTGCAATCACGTACTAAAATTATTGCTATCGCATCAAAGTGTTTGTGTATGTTGCGATCTACTGATCGGAGAAACACTTCTCTTTGAAATTTATTGTAACAAAATTGAAATTAGTTGCGATTTTTATTTGCATTGCATATCGCGTGCCTTTCTGACACATGAAACTCATTCTGTTGATTGTCTATTATTTGAATTTATTGACCAAATGACGTAAAAATATTGCAATATCATGGAATAAGAAAGTAGTTGTATTGCAATGAACCGTAATTTAATTTCCACATTTTCGTTGCAGTGTGCTACGTTACAAGTTGGTAATAGTGCAATATAAAGGTGTTGCAGCAGTGCATGACTGAATGAAGGTGGCGAGGCGTGAATGATCGATTATCGATATTTCGCCATTTACATTTATGGTAAAGAATCTATTATTAAGGTGTTCATTGCAAACACCCTGTTTATCGATCCTTTTCTATAGGTTTAAATAGGAGATCAATCGATAAATCGCAAAACACGCCACGCCACTGCTGCATGAGGCTAAGTATGCGTTGAAAACCGTAGGAAAGAACACATATATTTTTGACGATTATTATACTGAAAAATAGAAAATATATATTTAAAAATAAATGCTCGTTTAGAAAGGAGAGGAAAAGGGTGTACATGCGGTTGTAAGGCTTGTAGTTGAAAATGAACGGAGTCGCAGCGAGAATACATAGGAAAATAAAAGTAAAAAATCACAAAATGAAATATGTATAAAAAATTGAGCAATTTTTGAACTCCTTAAATATATGGGTTGGTTGGTAGATACGTTTGTAGCCAAGATCTTATGTACGTATGTTGTTGTTGTTATATATTTATGTATAGGTGCTTTAACAATTAACAGTCAATATGACCTAGAGCAGAGATCAAAAGGAGAAGTCCAAAAATTGAAAGAAAGGGCAAAGAAAAAATAAATTAAATCTGGAGATTAAGTCGTTTGAAAAAGGTGGGATTTGATGAGAACATTTTGAAAGTATGGTAATGAGATCAGAAAGAAGAGAGATAATTTTTTATCTAAGTTATTGGTAGGTAGGATAAATATAATATAAGGCGTGTATTTATGTTCATCGTACATACATGTGTCTGCCAAAAGAAACCATTTGCGGATCCAGCAAATTGGCAACATTGTCTTTTCTCCATTTAAACACATGGGGATGTATCGATTCTTCGAAGGGCCAGGTGCTCCGATAAGAATCGATTATTTAGCATAGGTTTAAGTGGAGGAAATTCGGTGTTGCCAAATCGCTGGATCCGCCTCTGAAAGAAATGCTCTTCGATCTCTTTGCCCGCACCACCAGCCTTAACACTAACTAAAACGCTAAAACTTCATCGATGTGTAAATTTTCTCTACTTCAAAATATGAAATAAACCCATCCAGTCTCCTCGGCCTGTCGAAGGGATGTTTTGTTTTCGTGCACTACGAGGACAAATGGATCATAATTTACCTACGGTCTGACTTCATGCCGTTGAGATTGAGGTAGAAAAATAATGTGAACATATTTATCACGTGTAAACTAAATTCCCCAATTGAGGATATTTCTAGCCGATTCTCTAGTTTTAACAGGGTGGCCAACAACTGTTTTATCCTTGCGGCTGCGGCTGGGGCATCAACTCGGGGCCGTAGACTGCAAAGGTCTCGTGGCCTATTCCACACTTCCCTTTCTCGACCAGAAGGTGACCCTGCAAAAGATACGGCAACGTTTAAAGAAGTCATGCGTGTAATTTTGAGGAAATAACCACTATACTCCCGTGCTAAGGAGAAACGCCGTATAAACATTCTAAAGTTGCCAAATTCCATCTGATAAAATGTTGATTTCTGAGGAGGTTTGCGAACATATTTCCTTGAAATTTTCAGGAACTTTATGTGGAATTGCGAACAAAATTATGTGAAAAATTGGGAGAAAATTTTGCAGAAGTTTACCCGGAAATTAGGTTTTTAAGTAAGGGAATTTGGCAATGCTCGAAGGTTCAAATGGCGCCCTTTTTAAGAACGTCAGTACAACCAGCATGTCAACGGTGTCAACTTTCCTCTGAGTTTTTCAGTTGTTGTAGTTTTTGTTTTTTTTGGGTATTAAAGAGGTGTCAGTTAATTTAAACCGTATTCTTGTACCAGGGTATACCGAAAAGTAGGTTACATCCATTTTATCTCTCAAAAAATTTTCTAGATAGATGGATTTCGCGGGGTATATTTTCAGCTTCCCGACGACCTATAGTTTTTTTAATGTCATACGTGTTGTCGAGATATTTAATTTTTTCTGAGTCCACCTCTCCTCGCCGCGGGTCCGATTATGTCCACTCCTAAATAAAGAGCTCCAGTGCGGCGTGGCGTGCTTTGCGATTTATCGATTGATCTGCCATTTAAACCTATGTAAAAGGATCGATAAATAGGTGTTTGCAACCAACACCTAAATAATCGATTCTTCACAAGAATTTCAAATGCGGAAATATCGATAATCAATCATTAACGCCTAGCCACCCAGAGTGACACACACAAAAATCGGACTCTCCGCGTGAGAAGGTGGGCACGGAAAAGGTTAAATAATAATCTCAGCAACGCGTGAAGCTCATTTAAATAAAACAAAAAATAAAAAAAAACTTTAGCATGTTGAAAAGCCGAAATTATAATTCATAAAACTTATTTTACAGAATTGGCTCACATGTAGCAAAAAGGAACCAGTGCAATTACAGTGTTTTCAAAATCGTACAATTTGCATTTTTACAACACCGTAATCGCGCTGGTTCCTTTTTGCTAAATTTGATCCAATTACTGTATCTACGATACTTTTGAGAAACAAAATAGTGAAACTTAATTTTTGGTATACACTCGTGGAAGAAAATTTTATTTTTCGAAATGGTCTTTCAATATCAGTCCATTGCCAAGCAATAACAGACTACTTGAATAAGGCTTGGTTCACATTATTCATTTTCTTTTGGAGTAGAGTATAGTTCTGGTGAGATCAATCTGGCGATTTGTTAAGTTACCAAAGGATAACTTGCTATTTCGTATAACATCGTGTAGGGTTGTGACTGCTCATAAGCTTGTAGTTTGGACTACTTTCGATTTAATCACATTCCGTCCTCTGTCTTCTGCAAGTATGATGCGGTAAAACATTTATGATAACATATGATACGAAAAATTAAAAATGAAGAAATGGTTTCAAAAATCAAGTATACCGCTAAGCCAAAAGCAGTGCCCAAAGTATTCCGGACAATCCATGCATCTGAAATCAAAAGCCAAAATATGAGCATCTTCTGTTTATTTGAACTACGGTATTTGAAGTAGGAAAAAAAAAAGGAAAAAGTTGCTCGTTTAAAAACTATTCAAAATTAGAGGGAAGAAAAGCTACATGGATATCTCTCCTTAGAATATGCAGATGCTTGATTTCACACACCATAGGGCCGGATTTGAGGGGGTGGCCACAAGGGCCACAGCCCATGGCGGCAAATTTAGGGTGCAGCAAATGTTGTAATTTTTTTCAAATGTATCAAGAAAAAAAATCTGATTAAAAAAAATTAAAAACGAGAAAAGGCGAAAAAATCTCTCATTTCCTGAGAGACAAAGTATAGTAATTTCCTATCTGTTCGTCTTTCGGTGATACAAGAGATAGCGCCGTTCATTAGTCTATTTGAGAGAGAAACTTAACATGCAATTTGGCCTGGAGCCGCGCGACGCAGAGAGCAATGAGGACATGAGATGGAAAAAAGAAGTCCTCGGCGCGCCGGTCAGCATGGGACACTTAATAGCGCCTACAAGACTCCATGAGTACTTCACGCATTGCGTCAAAAACAGCGCAGTCAGCAGCGGTCGGCGTGAAACGCATAGCGCCTACAAGACTGTAGTGATACTTCGCGCATTGCGCCAAACACAGTGCGGTTGGCGCGGTGGCGGAACTTAAAATCATTAAAGCACATTCATGTTTATTCCTTCATAATTTTTTAGTTCTTTTCTTATGAATGAAAGGTCTCGTCCATACTGAGATAGGTTTACGGCACTTAATTTTCGCGCTAAGTTCCGTGAACTTTTGCTAGTGTTGACCGGGCTTTCACAAAAAATGTGCCCAACACGAGTAAACGCGTCTAATGCACCCCTCCTCCTCCGACACGTTCACTTGAAGGTTTATATCGATGTTTCAAAACGAATGAGAAGGGGCGACAAAATACATACGGCCCATGGGCGGCAAGTAGGTACATCCGGCCCAGGTAGATACTGGATAAATTCACTATAAAATTGCAAGAAAATATTCTTAAGTTTTCATGGAATGTTGGATTTTAATCAAATAAAATTTAGCAACGTTGAGAGGGTTACGCCGCGTTCTCTCTCAACTCGGCGAAAATGGACTAGACATTTTTCGATTGGGATTTATCATTTCTACAGCTCATTTCAAGAACAATGTACGTGGTGTTGGTCTACCTACTAAGTTACGTGCTTTTGACGGTGTTAGGGATAGTAGTCCCCAATATCATAAAACTTAATCCAGGGGCGAGGAGGGGGGAGGGGGGAGGGGAGTGATCGATCATCTATATTTCCCCATTTGAAGCAACGGTAATTAGCTAATTGGTAATAAGCAATTAATAAGGTGTTCGTTACGAACACCATGTTTATGCACTTGATGCACTTTGATGCCCTTTGATGCACTTGAGAATTAATGAGCCGAACAAGCTTATCAAACTTTGGTTTGTTTTTCAAACAAGATACTCGACACCTTGTTCAACATCCACCTCGTAGGGATGTCAAAAGTTGAATGTTGGTGTCCCGAAACTAAAAACTTCCGTCGTTGCTGAGATATCAATGGAGGGTCTCTCTCGGAGGCGTGGCGTACTTTGCGATAGATCGATTGATCTGCCATTTAAACCTATTAAAAAGGATCGATTAAGAGGGTGTTCGCAACGAACACCTCAATAATCGATTCTTTACCATGACTTCAAATGGAGAATTATCGATAATCGATCTTTCACGCCTCGCTACTGCATGGTCTCTCTTCTTTTCTAAAAGGAGCTTTACTCCAGTATGTGGCATTCAAGGAGCAGCCGCGATTCTTGTTGGGACGTCAATTATTTTTCTGCGTGATCACAGCTTGTTTTATGCTCCATTATATCTTGACTATTTTAAATGATGGGTTTTAGCATCGGTTCCTACAGATAGAATTAGGTTTTAAATAAAATAAATAGTAAAATGCACCATACCTTTATAATGGCCTACAATAGTCACAGCGTGATTCAAAGATTCTTCGTCACTCAAGCACTCATCAGAGTTGTAAATACCTGATGCGTAATGCTGCACCAAACAATAATGAGTCAAAAATAAAATTCGAAAAGTAAGAAGCAAATATTAAACGTTTATGGTAAGATAAGAGTAAACTGCGATTTTAAACCAAAGATTTCCCAGAAATTGTCAAAGATAAAAAAAATCTTTCAATTTTCATGTTTTCTGCATGTTCGCTTTTCATACAACAAAGTATCTTTCGAGATTTCCAAATTGTACGCTGATTTTATACCTTAAAACTTTCAAAATTGACGTATTTATGCTGAAAAGAACTATATTCGTAGGGTTTACGTAACATAGTTCCTTTTAGCATACATATGTCCAAATGTAGATAGAGGTCAGGGATAGTGCCCATTTTCTTGATCCCCTTCTTCTTAACAAGGTGCTTTTTAGAAACCTCTAGATCCCCCTTAAAATGATGTCAGGTTAAGTTACCCCCTACCTCCTCTGGCTTAACTAGGCAAAATATAAAGAAAAATAGTTACGACTGGATCTGAAGAGACAGATTCTACTCAACCTTAATCCCTGAAAATTTGAAAAGTCTAGAGCATGGATGTACCAATCCTTGGATGTCTACGAACAGTAAAATACCGTCTTAAGTTGGCCATAAAAATATGCTAGACACAAAGCCGATAAACCAGCAGAAAAAAATAAAAAATAAAAAAAAAATTGTATACATCCGTACGATATGAAAAACATAGGGACGATCTCTTTTATTGAATATCACCAGCATAACGTTTTTTTAGAGGGGAAGAAAAATTAATGCTCTGATTCAAGAATTACAGCAAATTCTTCAAGAGGCTGCAGTTCTAACCGATGCGATGACCAGAGAATGGCCAATTTCACTTGTTTCGCTCTCTTAAACTTTCAAAATGGGCCTGTTGCAAACTTTTGCTAGAGCAAAACTAAGAGTTGTTTCTTATAGATGATGCCTCAAAAATCACGATGAGCGCATCGGCAAAATCTGAAATGCACTCATAACTTCACAATCTGCGTAAGAAATTTGCGTTTTTTTGAGCTTCCCGCTTCAAAAACGATACTACGGCACAGGTGAACATTTTGTAAGAGGAGTCGTTCCATCGTCGGCAATAATCATCATGGCCGACGCCAATCCGCCAAAACACGTTTGATGGGACGAGATAACACCTGAACTGGATTAGACCAGATAACAATCGGTGTGTTAACGTTCATATTTTCCACGCCCGAATTGATTGACCTTGAACTCTCCT